CTATATGTTATATATTCAGAGATATTAAGATCTACAAAAATGAAGATGAACACAATTCCTATATTTATGACGCTTTGATTTTAATTTATTTTAAATAAAGTGGACTGTTCTATATATAATCATCGAGTCATCGTTAAACTCTCTTATATATTATTCAAGGATCTACAATTGGTTGCTATGTTAAAACTTTTTTTTAATTCTAAAAATGGACTGTTCTTTGTAATTCAATAATAATTTCAAATTTCCTTGTACTTTCAGAGATATTAAAACAAAATCATTGGTAAAATTTTTGAGATATTGATTTTTTTCTTGTTTTTGTTCGAACAGATAAAAAAATGTCTGCATATCAATGCAAAAACATTTAAAAAATTGATATTTTTAGATAACAGAAACAGACTCTGTGTTGTTTTGGAAAATAATTATAAGTTCTGGTATGAATTTACCTCGTCTCCTCTATATACCTTACTGAATCGATAACTGCATTTTGCAGATAGTATCAATTTAAAATACGAATAATGTATACAACAAAATGCAATTGCTATATTTTAATTACTCCTATACTATCTATATTTAATAAACTGCTATTGAATATATGTAGGACACATAAGTACTTGTTAAAACCACTAGATATGAAAAACACATTTGACGACGTATAGCAAAAGCTGTTCTGGCACATTTGTAATAATATAGCTCTGTGCTAAACCATTTGCCATGTACAAATATATCAATCTCAAATGTGTAACACCAACTGCGCCCAACTAATGAATAGTTTTATCTAATTGTAGTAGTCTGTTTCTATCAACCAGTTTTATTTCAATTAACACTAACCCAAACTGTCATCTCTCCCACATCCTATATAATACCTCTTCTTTTTACCTCGCTTACCATATACTCTATCCTAACCCATGTAAAGGTTTTACATATAATCATTTCATGTCTCTTACTTTATAAACCCTACGAGTTACAACACTAATTTAAAAATTATTAATAAATTCTAACCCGTGCTTCTAATCTAGTTTTTACAGCTTATATGTCATCTTCTATTATTATTATACTGATATTTAAAGTGACTGAAGTGTTTGACAATTAAACCAGTTATATGTTACTATTGCATAGTTGTATAGTTTTTAATAGTTACGATTTTATTCCAGCATTCTTCTGATTTCAAAACATTCCATAAGTAATTTAACTTTGAAATGTCAAATAAATATGGAATCTAATTGAATTCTATAGACTATTTAATGAAGATTTACATATGACCTAAATATGGCTGTTCCCAATAGAACTGTTTCTTTTTGGTAAATAAAATCAATCAAAAATAATCTAAAACGACTTAAAATTTAGTTAATTACAGATAGTATAAGATTGACTTTAATTGTAATAGAAATGGGACTATAGTGCAGAATAACCATATATAAGAGTTATAATTATAATATAATTTGTTGATAAGTTTTGTTGTAAATTAAAATATAATGTTTTTCTGTGTTAAATACGTTAGTTTCAGTGAATGTTCAATGTTTCTTTAAACACTTATTAAATTATTTTCTTTTAAACTTTTCTCATAATGTAAATCTAAAGCAAAATTTTTCTCATATTGTGGATGCTTATTACAATCTTTCACTGTTGTTCCCATTTATCGGCTATTCCGCATTCAATAAAAAATATCAAAATAAAAGATTAGCGATCAAAATATAATTCAATTAATTGAACTTTCTAATTCCAACATATCTCTTAGAAAGAAGAAAAATATTTTAATTTTATTACACAAAATAGTAACAAAATTGTTTCTGGAACTTTTAAAGCAACCAATTGTCTAGTCTTGCGTTGTCCCAGTAAAATTGTCTGACTATCAAAGTTTAAAATTTTAAAAACTTGTATGGACTATAAAATTAGAAATGTTTCTGTTGTTGTAACCCGCAGGGATCTGTAAAGCAGAACTTGAAAGGAAATACAAAACGAATACATAGGTTACGATATAGATAAGTATATGTTGTGTTCGAGTGCGATTCGATTACTTGGGAGTAATTAGGGGATGAGTGGGATTTTAATTGAAGTTAACCAGGATCAGGACGGAGAAACTTAGCCACTCTATGGAGTGAATGCAAAGATCGGAAATTTGCGTGAGCTTTGAAGCACGAAAACAGATGGTCTAAATCATGGGGAAAGAGCTGCAAATTGAGCGCATATTGGTAATCACACATTAATACGTGATAAGTAACTGTTTAGCACATAATTATATCATGATTTCAATTAAGCTACGACTGTTTTTGCTGAGTGGTTTTCTTCAAAGATGTTAGGCAGGGGCCTATTAGAAACTTTGTTACAATGCAACAGTGAATTCAAAAGGATATTCGATCTTATTGATGTTAACCTGATTGCAATAATTGTAATATATATTTATGATATAAAAATAGGAATGCATCTTGGCTCCAAAAACCGCCAGATCTGCGTCCGGAGCCACTCCTAAACTTCGACTAGCAAGTGCCGTTCACCACTTGCCATCAAAAGTTCAGGAATCGAAACTTTTGATGGCATCAGTGAAACAATAAACACGTTTACACTTGAGTTCGAAAGATATAGTCTTGGTTTATAGTGACGATTTTTATTTTATGATTTATTCTTGGTGTATTAACCCACACCTGTTGGGAAGAACAAATGGCACTTTTTTTAATTTTCAATGGAATACGGCAATATAAAATATATATTTCATTTATTGAAAATTAACAGAATTTAGGTCAACAATGTATGCAGTGTAACGGACAATTAATGTTCGAACCCAAATATCTACAATAATTATATATAGATAAAATATGAAAAACTAAAACATAACTTTTATGCCACTAAAACCACCTTTAGGAATGAATGGTGATGAAAGACTCCCATCACTGCCCCGAAAGTCAGTGTTCATTCCAGTGAAAAAGAGTTGAAATAGAGGTTTAGTTCTTTCTAGTGAAACTTATATGAATGCTGTTGATTTTCTATATATAGTAAAGCTATGGAGATAATTGCTGATAAATTATAATTAAACTATTTATAGAAGCAACCAATACAAAATTAAAAGATTATGAATCAAATATTTGTTTCAAAAAATTGTTATAATATTTTACTATATATATTTTAACACTATATCTCCAGAAATAACTAAACCTATCTATGCAATAAATGCTGACATATGGCTATATATTTAGCTAAAAATATTTCAATTATACCAAAAACTGTCTTTCCGAAATAATTCGCACTTTCAAAATACAGAAAATCCAACTTGAATCGTTAATAAAAGGTCAACCATTTGAAAACAAGTTAAAAATACACTTGAAGACTCACTATATGCACACATTCATATACGCACATAATAGGAATAACCAATTATGATATCATTCACGGTACCCTGTATATTGCATGTTTGTTAGGAATTGTTTAATTAGGTATTAAAATTTAGTGAAAAGAGAGCAGTTTAAAGCATATTTTGTACCAGAAATCATAAGTGAAAATATTGTTCACTTACATGTATATTTACAATATTTAAAAGCAAATGAAATTTTTATGTGAAGTAATAAAAACTTTGCAAATACAACACGCACGCTAAGAAAACATACCGAGAACGTTGAAAACAAAGTAAAAGCAAAACAGGTCGATATTGACTTATTTATATTTTTGCAAAAATATTTATATTGCTTTTGTAAATATATTATTGATAATTAATTTTATTTTACAACACAAATATTATAAATATAGCAAACCTTTTAATTCACTCAATTTGATTTCTTTTTCACCGTAAATACCGTATACCAATATTGCGAAAAGTAAATTATTTTCACAACACTCTTTGACAACTTCTTGTATCAACACTCCAATTCACTGACGTTATGCCTTTTTTTTCTTCTTTATGTGCAGCAATTTTTATTGTAATTTTTTTTTATAAAAACAAACTTATCATTCAAAGAAATTATATAAAAATACTTAGATATTTTAATAAAATAAACTTTTTGTTGTTATTTATTAAAAATTTTTGCTATAAAAACATTTTAAATACACTTTTCAACGAACAAATACTTTTCAGCAAACACGATATGAGGATGAAAGAGAACTGTGCGATATACGGAACTGCTTTTCCGACATCAGACTTGTCAGCTGTTCTTATAATTTTATTCCAACTGGGTTTTGTGCTTTATGAATAAAACTACTATTATTTCATGGTGGTATTATATTGTGAAATGTAACACAAAAATAACGTTTAAACATGTCAATATAGCACGTGTGCGAG